GTCGAAAAACATCACACTTTCCGTAACTACAAAACTGTTCCAATTGCATTGAATAAAATCATTTCTGATGTGTAGTCATACGATTGGCTATACTGATCAAGTTGTGATATCATTGGCTGATACGTATAATATATACATAAGATTACTGTAGGTTCGTTTAGTGGTACTTTTTCATTGAATATTTGTGTCACAAAATATAAAAAAGTTTAGCCACTTAACAATTTGTTGCAAAGTAGCTAAAGTAACCTTAAAGTTTGAAATAAGCAAAGCAATCATTACACTCAGTTCACACGCAAGACATCGAGACACCTGTATGCTCAAGGAATGTATGTTTTGCTTTTAAAAGGTATCGAAACCGGGTTTTTTAGCGTTATAAGCAACCAGTAAATCAACATAAAGCTCTACATAATTTAAACACGCGTTACAGTAAAAAATGACAATGAAAATATGATAAACCAGAATCATAACGTAAAAATAAAAATACGAAATTACATTAAAATACAATATGTTAGAATCACAATGAACCAAAATTACGAAACAGAATCAATCAAAAAACAGTACAAGTATGGAAAACTGAAAGTTTAAAACACCTTAAATTACTAATAATGGAACATCTGAAAGAATACACTAATTCTAGTATTGTTTGACATACGCTAGCTGATCCCAATGTGGTGGTATTTCAAACGTTTTAAAAATCGATGCAAACGCGGATAATGAGTCATTTCTAAGAATAAAGGAGACTTGTGATTCGACACAAAAAGCAAGCTTTGAATAAACATCAAAATGCTACAGAATCAATTGAAATTAGAAAGTGGAATTCAAAATGGACAAAATTAACACTAAAATAAACTTATAGAGTCGGTCTGTTACTACAAATATATTTAAACTATTACAAATTAACGAAATTAAAAACACGTAAACAAAATGTAAATAAATATAAGTAAAAACAACAATAAAATTCAACAAAATGAAATCGCCAGACAGAACAAAAGGATAAATCAAAACAATATTATAATAAACAAATACAACAAATCGTCACAGAATAAAACAGCATCAAATGGTACTGTTATGTACATACTGTTGCGTCAGCGAGGTCACGTGACTATTGTCACGCCACCTATTTTCTAGAAGTATCTTGTTCCTTCGTGAATGCCCTAGCATTTACTAGATATATGTTTTTCTGGTATATAAATAAGACGCTCACAACGTGACGGGACAATGTGTGTGTAGACAGTGAGTAATTGATCTGCAGTGAGAAAGTATTGTTGAAGTTAACATTCGTTATAGCGTTTGTTTTAGCGCGAATGTTGAAAATTAGTGTATCAGTAAAGTTATATTCAGAAAGAATAAACCAGTTTTATTAAGTAAGGACTTGTGTCGCTAAATTTTCGTCGGAACGAATTTACGGGAAATCAACTAACGAACGGAGAC